CTGCCAGGTAGAGAGACCATCTTGGTATTCTCAGACAGGCCAGGTTAGCTCCAGGAAAGGGAGGTAGAGGAATGTGTACAGAGAGAGGCCCAGGAGGGAAGGCAGAGGCAGAGCTACCCCGTAGGAAACATTTAGCTGCAATGCACCAACAAGGGACAGAGATCTTGGTCAAAGGACACACTTTTCTTTATCAAAATTCAGGGAATATAGTTTTTATCCCTAATTTTATGGTTATAGTACTATTACTGGAGTACATAAGAAGGATATGTTTTTATTTGCTTGATGCTGAGTAAAAGGGAGACACCATCATTATCACATAGGCAATAATCTGGTGGGTAATTTGATCAATTTGGGGGAATAAGATGTGTAGACCACAGATAATTTCCTGTGTCTTGTACATAAATGAAGATTGTCTAACAAATTGTCATCATAATCATCAGTACCATCAGTATTTAAACTGGAAGATCTCAGAGAAATCTGATAAGAAGTCAATTTTAACAGTAAAGACCCTGAACAAATCAAGTTATACCAAAAAGCACTTACTGAATGACTACTATGTTTGAGACACACAATCTATAAGTTGTGGTGATTTATTTTTTAGGCAAAAGTTGCCTTGGTGATTTGATGTGTCAGGAGACAACTTTGGTATGGCTGCCCCAACAACAGAATGGATTCCAGTTGCACAAGATGTCAAAGGCTGTGTGAATATGCAGATAACTGGCTCCAAGCAAACGTCTCTGGTTTCCACATTGCTCAGATCCTCTGCCAGAGCAACATATTGAGTCTTGACTTTCCATTGCAAAATATTTCTGATAATTTCAAACAGAATTATATCTGTTTATTTTTCATTGTTGTCCTCAATAAGAGGTGGATGCTTAGAGTGGTCCAAATTAGTAACAAACAATCAGTTACTAGATTCTGCCACTTGCTGGTTAGCTTCTTCTCACAAACCTGCTTTACCCTACATGCTAAAAAGAGACACTATTCACCTACAGTATCATCTATGACATCACTAGTTTCAATGCCCAGCTCTGCGTGTGACAGATTTCTATGCTAAGTCATTGGACTCCACTTCTTCCCTTGGCCACCATTTTAATCCTTTGCAATCTACTTCTCTCATACACATATTTCCCCACATTCCTGTTTCTACTAAAGGGGCTGAGCTACAGTGTTTTATGGGCATATCTGTGTGCAAACATGGGTGAGCTGTTATCCTGAAAGCAGATGATGCCAAGCTTTGGCTGGTTACCCATGCATAAACATCACTTTTAGAGGTTCCCCTCTATTCAAAATTATAACCCATCTCCCTATAGATGGCACTCTATGGCATTAACATAATCTCAAGAATCATTAAAGAGTACAATTATTAGATTCTGCTGTCCTAACCTATATTGGCATTTAGTAGTTGGGGGTTATTTGTATCCCTAAGATACAAGGTTTTAATTGCTTTGTCATTGTAATGGATGTAAACAATTTATACACAGATCAATGTACTGGCTAAATTTGTGCATTTCTTGAAAATTCAGGATATCAGATAATGTAATTTCCTCACACATAAAATCCATCATCAGTTTAGGTGACAAGCATGAGTATTTGAAAGGGTCGGTAACTCTTTTCCCTTCCTCTCTCCTGTTTTGGTCAGTCTTCTCTTATAATTAGTGATATTATGCTTTTTGCATAATTAAGAATTAGAGTAATCCTGTGATAACGTTAGTAACAACTTTTCCCCAACATTGCCATTTGCAAGGCCCTTGCATGCTTGAAAACCAAGAAGGTAACTGGCATTTATTTGCTTCCTTTGGTTCCTTCTGCTTTGGATTTTATTGTCTCAGATTGTCTGATTTTATCACCAGGTAGTGTGTCTGTGTGTGTGAGAGTACAAGCTAGGGCCAGAGGAGACTCTCTCCACTTTTTGGCTTATTTCTTCTTTATGCAACACATGTAACTTTGGACTTATTTTTCAATTTAGGATCTGTAAATGCCTCAGTAGCAGTCCTTCAGTGACTAGACCTAGCCTCTCTGAGAATGTTATTATTTTTTTAAATGTTTATTAATTTTGAGAGAGAGAGAGAGAAAGCATGAGTAGGAGAGGGACAGAGAGAGAGAGAGAGAGAGAGAGCAAAAGAGAGAATCCCGAGCAGGCTCCCCGCTGTCAGCCTGGAGCCCAACGCAGTGCTCAATCTCACGAGCCATGAGGTCATGACCTGAGCCGAAACCGAGTCAGACACTTAATGGACTGAGCCACCCAGGTGCCCCTCTGAGAATGTTATTTAGTTAGGTGCAGTGATGGCATTTTGACAAGAGCTGTGCCTGCACATTGGCAGTTGGTAGGAAGTAGGTAAAGTATGGTCAGAGTGGAGAGGACCTCGACTACTAAACATGGAAGCTCCTGGGTGATTTTTATTAAAATGACACTCGGTAAGTAGAAGTGAAGACCAGTATAGGCTGGAGAAAAGAAACCCTGAAGATAGGGAGATTGATTAGGAAACTTTTGGAAATCAGATGTGGAGGGACCCCCTCTTCCATGCTCACAGATCGAGAGCCACTTGGCACTAAACACCATGGTAAAGGGAGATGGACAGCTGCTGTTTCACCTTGCAGCATATGCCATGGTCAGAGGAGTCCACAGGTCTGATAGGTGAGACTTCAAAGCATCAGACTCTTACAGCAGGAGGCAGCTGCAGACCAAAGGCAGGAAGGCCCAGAGCTCACATCACTAGGAAGGATTTCTCTGGACTCTCCTGGGCAGATATCAGGGAAACTACATCTTCTCGTCTCCCAACTCAGAGAAGATGACTGACAGAATGAGGTAGAAATAACCCCCAAATACTGGGAGGCTTTTTAGCTTAAATGTTTTCTTCTTTTCCTCTGGAAGAAGATTGAAATAACTAAAGCATGTATGTATTTTTTTAACCCAAAAGGTTTACTTTCTAAAATTAATGTTGGTTAAATGTCTCATTATGTGAGTTTTAGAAAAACAGTAATTACACAAATGTACCCCTGCGATGTAAAAGCCTGTCAAACTGTCTACATTGTATAGAACTACAATAAAGGATATAAAGTATTAGAGTCCCAAAAGGAAGAACCATTTGGTCAAATGAGGATGTGTAAATTATTATTCATTGTTATATGAATGTAAAACCAAGTTTTATTTGAATTTTCACCAACTGGGGATAGTCCAGACGGTCTGGCTTCGTGTGTTGGTCTGGACTAGAAATGATGTTTAGTCTAGTGACTGGCAGGTAGCACCTCAAAGAGATAAGCGAGTGTCTTTTCCAGCAGTCGCAAATATTGGTTTTCCAAAAATGTTCTTTGCGAATGGTCAAACGGGAATAATTAATTCAGAGATAGTTAATTATTCTTCTGAGGCATGATGGGTTGGTTAACTAGTATATAAGTATGAATAATCAATGTTTAATACTCTACAACATAACTACTAGAGTAAAATTTTGAATAAGTCATATAAATACTTTAAATCTATTAAAGAAAGATGTCATGAGAAAGCCTCGTGTTCACACACATTATTAAATAAAGAGAAAATTAATAACCTTTAAAAAAATTTAAGTTGTATAGCATGTGCTAAACATTTTAAGTTAATTATGCATTTTCAGTTTTGCATCAAAGTTCAGTTCTAAAATCCCATTTCAAGTTCAAATAGAAAACATATGTTTTCATGCCATTCTGTGAAAAGAGATGGCATATAATTTTTTTTATCATTTGTTGTCTAATTTCTCCAATTTTGCCAACAATATACTTGAGTACTTTTGAAATGCTTTTTATTTGTAACGTTTGAGACTGTAATCATTGTTTTCATCTTTACTGTCAGCACTTCATTGTATCACCGCTTTTCCTGGTAGGCGAGCATAGTTTTGCCATAGTTTAAGTGTATTTATTGGAAACCGAGAGACTCTTAGTTAAAATTTATCATGTCTTCAAACAAAACTTGCTACTTAAAGTCATATTTCAGAATATTTTTGCTCAGAATAGTTTTGTTTTTATGGATAAGACATAGAAGAAAAAAAAAAGAAAGGCTGAGGAAAGTACTTTTCCTGGGTTTAGAATAAAGACATTCCATAACATCTGGCATAGACCACGTAATTTTACTTGAATTTTAGTTCACTTGAATTCTTGCAGCCATTTTCTCCTCACAACCACTAGACCAAATACGAAACATCTAATTCCTTTGGGCTTTACTTTGTTTTGGTACTAACCAGTCCCTAAAGCAAGATGATCACAGTGACAGTGGGTGAGTTATGTTCCCCTCCCACTGAGGCATCACTTTTGTCATATTTGTCTTGGGATCCTTATTGCCTAGCTCAGGGGCAGGCACATAGTGGGTACTCCACAAATAAAAACTCTGTAAACTGAAGAAATGAAGAAGGCAACAGTAAACTGAGGCCTATTTTAAATGGCTTTAGTGACACTGTTCAACAAGGTCAACACTGAGCTGAGATCACGTGGACCTCACTATCTCTAAGTCACCGAGACAACTGAGGGAAGCCAGCGTACCCTTTGGCTTCCATCATCAATCCAGATCGTCAAAATAAAACAGGTACTTTCATTTCAACATGTACCCTGGCTATCTGGCCACTGAGTGGCATCACATTAAAAAGGTTACAGAAACTGAAGAAATACTTATTTTAAGTATCTTTTGGGCTCAATAGATCTCACCCTGAAAACTGAGTCTCAGAAAAATCCAGTTTCTTCCCAAGATTGCCCATCCACTCAGCAAGCTCAGGGCTGGCATGAGAATCTGCTTCATTAAAGACCGTGACTTTGAATAGTCTTCCCCAAAACGCGATTTTGTGAACAATTAAGTTAGCAAATAAATGTAACATTTAACAAATAATAAAAATGTTAAAGGCCACCAAAGTCGAAGGCTGCATAAATCACTCTCAGTAAAAACACAGACTAAAACTCCAAAGGTCTGCAGCAACTCTCTTACTGTGGAATCAGAACGTATGTTCAAACCTGCAAATACAGTTGTGGTTACTTCCTACCTTAAACACATTGATAGGGAGATCAATGACCACATAGATAAGGTCTCCAAGGGCAAGGCTGGCTATCAGCGCGTTGGGGCCATTCCTCATACACTTGTTCTGGTAAATGATCCTGAGCAGAGTTGCATTCCCCACCATTCCCACGATGAAAATAGTACAAGATATCACAGTGTTAATGTATTTGAAAGCTGAAGTAATCTTAGTCTGCTGTGGGCAATAGCTGTGCATTGAGCCATTGCTAGGTAGGGCCAAATTAGTGGGTCGATGAGTGGTAACGAGGAAGCTGAGCTCTGTCCCACGAAAAGTGGTGAAATCATCCACTGGAGTACTTAGGTTTGTGTTGTAGCTTTCAGGATTATCACTGATCACACATCCAACCAGCGCTACCCAGAAGGACACCTTGAGGCAAAAGGTTTCCATCGTGATGCAAATTTGAGGAAATGTCTCTTACTACCTTCCCTTTACACACTTGCTTTTTTTTTTTTTTCACCTGGAAAAGAAAGGAGGAAAAATAATTGGTTACAAAATCCAGCTGCCAATAATTGTAGTCAATGATTACTGCGTCAGGTAAAAAGTAATATATATTTGGTAATTAGATAAGATCTGTGTAAGGTTATCCCACGGCAGGGAAAAAAGACAAGATCAAAGCTCCATTATGGCAAATTCTCTATCTCTATCTCTATCTCTATCTCTATCTCTATCTCTGTCTCTGTCTCTCTCTACGCCCCTCTGCTTCCTTCTCTTTCTCTCTCTCATCTCCATCCATGATTATATCTAGATTATAATATGGATGAGGACATATGGGTTCTTCCTTTAGTAGATCAAAAGTTACTTTTTTCTCTCCATTACACTGGCTGATAAAAATCTGAATTGCAAAAATCTTCAAGAGTTGAGATACAAAATTTTATTTATTAATGGAAGAGAAAAGGCATTATTTGCCGAGTAAAATGTACATGGTATCAAGGCATAAAATTAGCAAAATCTTGTAACTAACAATTCAATATTCCAAAATGTGTTCTGTTGTACACATGGTAAATAATGAACATGGGGTTAAAATGTAGCACAGGTAGTTATTTAAAGTGTCATAAAATGCTCTTTTAAAATCAGAACTCTGGTTAATACCACCAATACATTTAACAATCTTAGTTTCGATTAAAAATTATGTAATTGATACACACCAAATATTCATTTTATTGAAAATCTTGATGATTAATGTGTACAATCCACCTCTCTGACAGGAATTTTTTCTCTCTCTCTTCCATTCTTGAGAAATTATTATCCCAATACTTGCCAGCAAGTGAAGCTGGTAATAATGGCTTTCTAGGCCAGGCACAGAATTTGGCTTTCCAAGGGCTATCTGTCTCATGCTTTCTTTGAAACATCCTATGTGGTTACCTTTGTCACACCAACTGTGCTGAGCACTTCACATGCATGGTGTTGTCTAATGCACACCATGCCTCTGTGAGGCCGATGCACAGTTCCTCTAGAAACATAGGGGACCAGAGGCTCAGTAAAGGCAAGGAGCCTTCAGGTCCACAGGTGGTAGTGGCAATGTTGATTCTAAGGCAGGTTTGTCCAACTCTGAGCCTAGGCTCTTAGCCACTAGACCACACTATCTCTCTCTCATTCTTGTGCTTTCTTAGCACCTAAAATGTTTCAACAGTCTCCCAGAGTTTCCATGAAACAATAGATTTGGGAGGGTGATTACTTGTTTCCAAAAGATCATTTGTTTTCATTTTTTGTTTTCTTGTTTGTTTAAGTGACTTGCTGACAGCAAGTGGTCCTTCTTGCTCAGAAGGATACTTTAATCCTTAAAAGACATTGGAAGGGCACCTGGGTGTCTCATTCAGCTAAGTGTCTGACTCTTGATTTCAGCTCAGGTCATGATCTTGTGGGTTCGGGAGTTGGAGCCCCACCTCGGGCTCTGTGCTGACAGCATGGAGCCTGCTTGGGATTCTCTCTCTCCCTCTCTCTGCCCTACCCTCTTCAGTCTCTCTCTCTCAAAATAAATAAATGATTTTTTTTTTTTTACAGAAAAGATGTTGGAGGAAATGAGGGGTTGGTAGTAACACAGTAATCAAAGGTAAATTAAAAATGGCTCCTCCCACTTAAATATTTTGTAAATTTTCTTCTCTGTGAGTTTTTAGTGATTCTTTAAATGAAGACCATAACCTCATTAATGCAGTGGCATGTGTCTATGATATATATGGTTATAATGTAGTTTTTTAAAAATTGTGTCCTTTTTCTTGGCCTATTTATAGTTGGTATTAACCGCTTTTAGGAATTTTGACAGTTATGTTGGGAAATCAGTAGAGCTTAGGTTTACTCAATATGTCGATGAAATAAGATTTATTCAAGTTGTGCAGAAGGTCTAAAGTAAGTACAAGGTGTAAATACCATACACTTTTGCCTTCCCCTGAGGTTTTTCCTGGGAATGTGAAAAAATAACATTGTATGTATATTAATAATTTATTATGTATGCATCTGTTATCTGACTTGAACTTTATAACTCTGGTAGGCAGGGGCAATATTCCCATTTTAATCATGAGTTAAGTGGGTCTTGAAGAAGTCTTCATGGCCAAAGAGTGTCAGGACAGGCATAATGCCTCACTTTGCTTTGCTTAATTATAAATAGTTTGCAGTTTTTTCCTGCTTCTTACAGTTTGGAGTGAATACTTGACCGAATACTGTAGATCTACAAAATGCCACTGCTTGCATTCTACAGTGGAGACCAAGATTCTAAGAACAAAGCACCTTGTCAATCTCTTCTTTAGATCATAGATATGAGAGAAAAGAAATCCTTCAGTATGTTATGCTATTTAATGACTACAGCCTCCTACTTTCCCAGTTGGGATGGACCCTTCAGTAATGTTTCCTTGAAAATAAGAAAGAGAAGGCCTTTCCTGGAAATGGAGTGGCTCTTTGCCCAGTAGAGTCCACTAGGAGGATATTTAGTGAACTGACCTGGCTATCATGCCTGTTATGCCAGTTAGGAAAGGTACCACTAGTGTTTGAACATCAGCATGCTGGTTTGCTTGGTCAGCTGATTAGGCAGGAACTATGGAGGCCAAGGCTATAGGTTCTCATCAAAGTGTGAGCTAGCTACCATTAAAGCCACGTTTCTTGTTCTTCTCACAATGATACTGCTACATCATTTATGATGACATCTCCATCAGCTCTTGACACATATTAAGCTGCAGAGCTAAGGGATACTTGCCAAAGATATGTGGGTACCATATTATCATTGGGTGAAAAATGCAAAAGCAAATAAACAAAAAGACTCTCAAATGCATGTTCCTCCATGGATGAACCTGTAGCACATTTCCGTGGATCCAAGTCATGCTGTGCTTGGAACTCTCGGTCACAAGCAGACCTAGCTCTAGTGAAGCATCTCAGGGTCTACCCTGAAAAACACAGTTTATAGATTCAGCCTTCTTCATATTTGGGGGCTAAGAATTTGATGGAGTTCTAAAGCTATTATTAAGGAAGACGACTGAATCCTTAGGTTTACACTGCAAGCATTTAACATCTTGGATTCTCAGGATTAAAGTTCACCTGTAATTAGTAATTTGGAAATTCCAACCTTACCAAAATGGCATAAATTTAGAGCACGTAATTTACTGAAATGATTGCCAAGATGTTTCTCAATTAGTTAACACAGAGGGGGCAGGAGGCCACGAATATCTACTAGAGGAGAGAAAAAAAAAAACCAAACAAACTAGGAACTTTTTATTAGTCTTCTGTGGGTTCTGCTTGCTGGGTAAGAAACTAGCAACTCTCCTTACAGACAACTGACTTTAATGTGCCTCCCACCCCACCCCCTCCGCCGCCAACTCTATCCGGGAACTCCATTAGGATGGTGTAAACAGAGGCTGATTATCTAGACACAGCCCTTGTTTTCTGCACGTGAAAGGCAACAAGTGCCCTTTAAAGGAGAGCGCAGAACACAACGCCCAGACCTCTACAGGCAGGTTTCCAAATTAGCTGCACTGGGGGTTTTCCAAAACACATCAGTCCCTCACACCAAGTGCCCTTGGCTACCCTTGGCATACCCCGGGTGTGCAAGGAGGAGAAGCAGGCGAGTAAGAAAAGGCTGCGAAGCAAACTTCGCAAGTAGGCTTTGGAGCCAGCGACGAGGGCGTGATGTTCCACAAAGTTCTTATATGCTTGCGGGAAAAGGGAGACCAAGGAAAACCGTTGGTTTTCCTCTGACTAAAAATCCTAATCCTGCCTGGGGAGGCTGGGGGCTTTCGATCAGTCCCCCAACCCCCAAACGTTTCCGGAGCGCGCCCTTCCCACAGAGGCGCCCGCCCCGCCACGCGCCCTCGGGCAGGTGGGTGCCAGCCCCTGTGCGGAGGGTCGCCAAGCTGCAGGGCGCCGGGCGAAAACGCTCCCGGCTCGCCAGTCCTCCCAGGTAGCGCCCCCACCCCCACCCCCGCTCGGGTCCCCGAGGAAAGAGTTGCACCGACCGTGGAGCTCGGCGGGCTCAAACAGCTGCCGGGTCCGCGCGCCGCGCCTGGGCGGGAGGAAGCGGAGCCGGCGAGGGTGGGTGGTGGCTGTCCCCGGCTCCCACGCCGCGGCAGCCCGGGAAGCACAGCTGCCTCCGCTTCGGAAAGCTTCCTGGGCACGGCTCCTCCGGGGAGGTCTTCCCGAGCCTCCAGCCTCCGGCCACCGAGTGGGACGGAGCCTCTCCACCGCCCGTCCGCAATCGCCAGACTAAAGGGATGACTGTACGCGCGCGCGCGCGCGAAGGCTCGCAAGAAAAAGAAAACTCCAGGGGAACACGCCTCCCGGCTGTCCTCCCTTTCTCCTCGAAACACTCCCAGACCTTCGCCTCCACTCTGGGACAGCAAGAACGTCCCAACCTTCCAGCCCTCCCAGGAGGAAGACACTGTAAAGCACAAAGCTGCCGCCCCCTCCCAGCTGCCTCCCAGGCCCTGAAGGGCAACAGCCTTTTAACCATTTCCTTCCAGAACTGAAGTGGGGGGTTGGCAGTCGAAGGAGGAGAATAGTCCAACAGACAAGACTCAGAACTGTGGAAGGCCTTGCTGAAAAACCCATCCCCTTCACGGGCAGATTTGATCCGTGAGGGAAAGACTGCGGCTAGAGCCCGGGGTCCAAGCTGGATGTCTCCTCTGTGATCCCCGCCCCTTTGCTTGGGTTTGTATGCCCCCTCTGAAGCTTACCGCGTCCAAGAACCAAACTTAGCAGTTTACTGGATCAAGTTTTGCTACTACCTTGTCTCTTGCATACCACTTCAAGGCAAGGCGGGAGAGTCTGTGAAAGGCTCCAGTGTGTGGCTCAGAGAAACCTACGATTCCTCAAGAAATCCCAACACGGAGGGTGCAGACATTGCAGAAAGCGGGCATCTTTCCATGATGGAGATTTTTATCCTAAGTTAAGGAGTAGGGGAGGAGATGAAGGACAAAGGCCATTGCCTGTGACATACAAGAGAAAACTGAGGACTCCTTAGAGAAGGCTCTCCCTTGGGGTCCTTCGTTGCACTACTGGTGTGAGACATATTGTGGAAATGTGAGTTTGGAGCACTGGTAACTCTTTCAGACTGTTCTGGTTATCTACTGCAGCTAAAGAAAGTCACCCTAAAACAGTAGTGGCTTAAAACAACGGCAATCATTTACTTTACTCATCAATCTGCAGTTTGAGCAGGGCTTGGCTGGGACAGCTCATCTGTGTTGGGGCTGGAGGCTCCACTTCCAGGACAGTTCACTCACTTGGTGACGAATGTTGGTTTTTCTCCATGTGTGTCTCTCTACAAAGTGGTTTAGGCTTCCTCACAGCATGGTGGCTGGGTTCCAAGAAGGAGTGTCTTAAGAGTCAGGAAGTGGAAGCTGCCAGTTTCTTAAGGTCTGGGCTTTAGAGACTGGTACAGTGTCACTTCTGCAGAATTCTATTATCAAGCAGTCACTGATCCCAGATTCAAGGTGACAGGGTTTTGCTTCCATCTGTCAATGGAAGGAGTTTCAAAGAATTTTTAGGGGGAATATTGTAAGACCATCAAAGAGATGCACGGAATATCACCATTGAATGGGACCTTAATAGTCATCTAGTCCAACTGGACTAGGTATTACCCTGTGCATTAATCTATTCTGTCTACAGCTTTCCATGACAGAGAGTCAGCCAGCCAGGATAACCAATAGCTTTTATAAATAAGTGCCTTAGTTTGCATTGAAAAAAAGTGCCCCTTCAAGCACATGACTTGGCAAGCGGGCAATACGTTCAGGGAAGAAACTGTTATTGCTTCCTCCCAGAAAAGGCAGTTCTATATGAGGGTTCACACTTGGAAAGTGAAACATGTACTGGATTTTAGCTCCTGCTCACCCTGTGACCAGACACACTTGGAGAGTGCACAGCTTGTACAACTGAACATCTTAGTCTATCCAGTCTTTGGTAGAGCACATCGATCAGCCCCTACATCCTGGGAACAGCTCACCCCACTGTGGCACAGGTCTAGTTATTAAAAATTCCTCTTCTGCACCCATGAGGATGGCTATTACCAAAAAGCAGAGAATGACAAGTGTTAACAAGGATGTCTAGAGATTGGAACCCTTGCACATTGTAGGTGGGAATGTAAAATAGTGCAGTAGCTGTAGAAAACAGTATGGTAGTTCCTCAAACAATTAAACATTAAGTTACTGTATGATCCAACAATTCTATTTCTGGGTATATACCCAACATAATTGAGAACAGGAACTCAAACAGGTATGTGTGCACTGTGTTTATAGCAAGATTACTCACAATAGCCAAAGGATGGAAATAATCCAGGTGTCCATTTATGGATGAATGGATAAAATGTAGTGCACATATATACCATGAACTATTATTTAGCCTTAAGAAGGAATGAAATTCTGATACATGCTACAATGTAGGTGAAACTTGAAGACATCATGCTAAATGAAATATGCCAGATGCAAAAGGACAGGTATTATATGATTCCACTTACATGAGGTGCTTAGAGTAGTAGTCAAAACCAGAGACAGAAAGTAGTATGGTGGTTGCCAGAAGGTAGGGGGTTGGAGGAGGAATGAGGATGTATTGTTTAATGTGCTTCTGAGCATCCATTTGGGATGAAAAAGTTCTGGAGATAGATGGTGGTGATGGTTGCACAAGGTAATGCCACAACCTTACACTCAAAAATGGTTAAAATGATAAATTTATATTATGTATATTTTGCCACACAAAAAAATTCTTCCTGACATTCAGATGAAATCTGCCTCTGTATAATACCTACCCTATATGTTTATAAAATAAATTTACTGCTTCTTCTAAGAAAGATCTTCAAATGTAAATAAATATGTATTACACGGATCACCAGCATAGATATAACTTTGTAACTGATTGGGATTGCCTCATTCTAGGTGAGAACAACATAAACTTTCCTTAGTTGTTGGAGATTTATATTCTTGGCTTCTCTGCTTTACTTTGGGGAAAATGACTCCAGTGGATTTAAATCTGTTCTCCTTTAAATTAACTACTTCACTAACCCCTTGCCCCATTTACAAGGCATTATATACTCACCCCACTTCTTTTTTTTTTTAAGTTTATTATTTTGAGAGAGAGAGAGAGAGAGAGAGAGAGAGAGAGAGAGAGAATGAGCAGGAGAGGGGCAGAAAGAGGGAGAGAGAAAAAAATCTCAAGCAGGCTCTGCACTGTCAGCCCAGAGCCTGACATGGGGCTCAGTCTCAGTATCCATGAGATCATGACCTGAGCCAAAATCAAGAATCAGATGCTCAACCGACTGAGCCACCCAGGTGCCCCTACTCACCCACTTCTATATTCCTGCTATGTACTTTAAATGAACATATAATTAATGCATTTGGCTATATTTCTTAATTTGATTTCCAAGGATTCTTTTTTTCCTCTGGAAGGTAGGTTGGATGCAGATTGGCAGGCCTTCTGGGTTTCAAGGAGACTTTCTTAATCACACTTGACTTGTAGTTCAAGCTGCTCGTAAGTGGAGCATTACTGTAATGGTAGTTACATTGACTTTTCTCAGCATCATATTATCATTATTGATTTCCTGAATAATAATTGCTGAAAATTAAGAAGTACTCAAGATGGCACTTAAGAGCCAAGTTTTCATGTGTCCTTGGGGTAAAAGTTCTTGCGAATTTAAGTTTCTTGATTCAAATTTGCAAATCCATTTCACAATTGCTATCTCTTAACGATTCTCAAAGTTGAAATGCAATAAAGGATTTGAGTCTCACAGTGTTTGCTAAAAATGTTGTGTTCCCTTTAGGGCCCCCTGGGGGAAGGAAACATGAAGGGGTCAGAGAAGAACCACAAAGTTAAAGAAAGGCTGGGACGCTTGTTGTGAGGGGAGAAACCGGGGAGATGCACATCAGAGACCCGGGCCTGTCACTGCAGCCTTCACACTGGGCGGTGCCATGGTCAAGACTCAACATCACTGGCCCGGAGAAGAAAAAGCAAGCCCGGTGAGTTTAAGTTTCATTTTTAATTGAAATTCACTATAGACGGTTTGCTAGTAAAAGGAAGTATTCCAAAATGCTAGCTTGTAATGGGTTGCGGAAGATTCTAAAGTGTTTTCTCACTGCAGTAATGTTGCACATGGTTGTCAAGACTGCAGGTTGTCTCATCAAAATATACTCAATGCATAATGTAGCCCAGTGTTTTGTAAACTGCTGGTGGTCTCGTTGGAGGGCTGAAAAATCATTCAGTTTTAGCATCACTAATGTTTAGACAAGTAGATGTTAGTTTCCTTTTGACGACATATTCCATCTGGTCACAACCGTTTAACTTAAATTACGGCTTTAGCTCTTCCAGTTTCCAGGAAAGGTAGGAGATAGATATTGTAACAAATGCTGTGAGGAAACAAGTGGACAAATCCAGAAAGTGTGACATTTTACAGGACAACTAGCCCTTCAACAAGTCAGCCAATGAAAAAGGGGTATTTTTCTAGATTAAAAGAGACTTAAAGGAGCATGACAACCAGCTGCACTATCCTGGGTTGGCTTCTGGTTTGGAGAAGTCAACTGTAAGGGACATTTTTTGGACACCTGGAAAAATTTAGATTTGGACTAGATATTAGATGCTGTGAAGAACTTATTAATTTTATCAGATGTGAAATGAACTTTATTCAGTGTGATTATCTTTGGCATATAGAAGAATGGTCTTATATTGTAGATTCTTTTGGGGTATATATAATTTACTTTTAACTACCAAAGCAGAAACAAAAATGACATGAGTAAAAAAAAAAAAAAGGATGTAACGTACCTAGTCTGGCACATCATGGGAGCTCAATAAGTGATAGCTCTTTTCACTTTCATGTGTTCCTTCCTTGTTTGTCCATGAGGAGAGTGGTATAGTGGGAGAAGCAGCTTCACATGGTAACATGGGTGACTTTAGAAAGGTGACATAGTACTTGTGACTAAGGCCAAGGAGACCACTGGCATCTGGGGAGCTACAAGGTAAATGCTGGAAAGGGGATCTGATATCTTCAGGTGGCTGTGAGAGCAATCATCCACAGCCGAGCTTATGCTACACTGCCCCAGGGATCCCTTTAATGACACAGGAGGGGCCTGAGAGGTCCCGATTTTGCCAGTGAGGACTAGAGGCCAAGGTGGGTGCTGTGAGGACATCACTGTGACTTTGACTCTTGAATGTTCCTTATAGTTGGTATGGGCTCAGGAACTCTGGGTTGCACATGTAATAAGACAAACTAAATATCCCTAAAGCTTGAATACAGACTCTTAATCAAAAGAGGTGACAGCAGGTGTCTTGTGGAATAACATCAGAACAGGAGAGGTAAGGACAATTAGCTTATTGTTTGTTCTTTAGATATGTCAGGGCAAAATACGATAGATTTTGAAAT